GGCAGCATGGCGGAGTAGAACTGGGTGTCCAGCGGGCTCGCTAGCCTGCGGTGTGAACTTGGTCTAATCACTTGGCCTTGCCTATTGCCTGTCTTGTGCTCAGCACCGGGCACAGTGCCTCAGACCTTGCTTGTGATCAAAACACATTTGAAAACTGTTGAATATGTGAAGCACTTTTTTCCCACACCACATTGCTTCATCTTTCGCTTCTTGCTTTCCTTTTCACAGGGAACCTCAGCAGAAAGTCCAACATGGGCTCTGAATCCTGTGTATCCCCACCAAGTGAGATGTGTCCTCAGGTCAAACTTGAGAGATCACCTCTGTTTTCACAGCTTTGGTAGGGATCACTGACTCTGTTGAGTGTGAATACACTGTTTGTTTTCCCTCTTCTCTTTCTGTTTGCCATTGGAAAAGTCCATTAGTGCTGAGTGACATGACTAAACAGTCAAAGGGAGAACAGTTGATGTGTTAATAACTCTTAGGTAAATACCATTTGTTATTGTCACCACTGAGGCTTTCAGAGAGGTGGCACCATTCCTAGTCTGGGACTGTCTTCTCTTCAGCTCTTGGTCTTGCAGCGACCTGGAAAGACAGGTTCAGAGAGAGAAGGAGTCTGAAAGGGCCTGGTGAGCAAGAGGAGGGAAAGCAACAGCGACTCTGAAAGAGATACAGAGGTAAGAGAGAGGAGGGCAGGCGCGCGCACACACACGCGCGCGCGCGCACACACACACACACACACACACACACACACACACACACAATGAAGCAAAAGAGAGATGTCAGAATGCTGATGATTAATGCGACCTTTTGCTAGATTCCGTGCTCCCTCGTGCCTCTTCCTCAGCAGTGCCAGGGATCTCTGCATTTATGACTTCATAGCTGCTCTGACTTGGTACTTCTGGTTCCACATCTACTTTCCCACTAATGTCTAGGATGTGCAGTTTTTCCTCCTAGAGCCGGCTGGGTCCCAGAAGGGAGGTGATGTTGGCTGGATTCAAAGAATCAACATAAGAAGGTCACATGGCAGAAGGAAAAGAAGCTTCCCTGAGGATGTCTCCATGTTGGGGTTGGAAGACCACTGTGATTATGAGGAACCCATGGTCAGCAATGCTCACACTTGAGTGAAAGGATTCATAAACTGCAAAACTACCTTCTCCTGCTAGCTAAGGACAGAAAGGATCTTCTCCGCCTAGCTAAGACCTTGGGTTTGTTCATTAAGCACTCTGTACTCTTATAACAGGAATTTGCATCAAATGATCTTCCAGCTCTAAGCATCTCTGGGGCTCTGATTTTTGGGCAGACAAGACACCAACTCTTCTTTGAATCTTAGTTCCTCCCTGGCTAGGGATGATCAGGTATGACTCTAACACAGGGCAAAATGGCTTAAAGACCCCCATGTTGGCCAGCTGTCATTGTGTTCCCTAACTAGACACTCTAAATACCTCTCATTGAGTTGTCACAAATTTAGGATATGTGCTTAACTCATTTCATAGCATTTTCCAAGAGAGAAAAGAGAATATCATGATTAAGACCCCAACTCTGTACTCAGCCAAGCAGGGGTTCAGTTCTGGCACATTCCCGCAGGGTGATCTCAGGCAGTCCTCTGAGTCTCTTGTCCTCATATGTCAAATGGAAACCACAATAGAACCTGTCTCATAGGGGCTAAAGTGAGGATTAAAAGAAAAAAATAAATAAAAGCAAAGTACTTAGCACAGTGCTTTCATGTATAAACCCTCCATAAGTTATAGAATGTTCAAACATTGGAGTATGCCCACTTAATTCCCACAGCACCACTGGGAAGTTGGTATGTATCCTCACTTAAAAGATGAAGAAACTAAGGAATGAAGAAATAGTGACATCTCCACAGTATCCAGCCAGTTAAAGTTAAATCCAGAACCAGAAACAAACTGCCTGTTCTTTTCCCCAACATCATTATGAAGTCTCTGAACTGCGCTCTCAGGAGGCTAAGAAAAGAAGTAAGTGTAGGAGAGAAAGAATGTAAAAAGAGGAGAAAAAAAGGCTGAGGGTTTAATCTTTAAAGTACAGTTAAAAGAATGGGAAGAGTAGGACTAAACAATCAGCACTCAGAAAACAGAAAAAGAAAAACTGTTGTGGGGAAAAAAGGGAATAGATCTTTTCCAAAAGTAGAGAGGAAGGTCACCAGTGTCATAAATTTGAAAGTCAAAAGAAAGATCCTTCATTTATTCAACAAATATTTATGGAGTTGGGTACACATGTTAGGCACATTCTAGCTCACATAGAGCTAGGTCCCTGATCTCCTGGAGCTTACATGCTACAGAGAAAATAAATACTATATAAGTAAATCAATAAAGTAAGAACATAATTTCTGGTAGTGTAAGTTGTAAGAAGAAAACAAAATGAGGATAATACATTGTAAGTGATGGGGGAGGAGGGTGAGCCACTAAGTTGGTGTGATTAGAGAGAGGCAACTTCTTGAATTGAGACAAGAAGAAGCTAGCTCCATGAAGGTCAGAAGAGCATTTTAGGGAGAGGGAACAGTTTCTAAAGCAAAATCTCTGAGGCAGGGAAGTTTGACTGTGACCTTCAATAGGGCATTTTCAGTGACTTGGTGTGAACAGAGGCTAGATCATAACAGTTAATGTAAGAGAATTGACTTACAAGGAAATAGAAAGCCTACGGGTCAACTCCTTATTCAAAACGTTGGTCTTGAAAAAAAGGAACAAAACAATATGCGTGCCATTTGTAGCAGCTAATGAGCAATGCCAGCCATTCTTATTTTGGGACCTTTTGTTTCCCTTTCCATTTCAGTGACCTCCCCTCAATGCCAATATTCTCAACCAGAAAGCCACATCCTTGGACTTTCATATTAATGACTATAGGGTATTTGGGGGGTTAGAGATAAGAATAATCAAATCTTCCCACCCTAAGTCTCCACTGACAGCATCAAACTTGTTTGCACTTGCAGAGACTGTCACCATTCCAGCAAATACAGAGATACTTGCCTTGAAATCTTTATTTGTCTTGTTCTCTACAATTCAGGGTCACCTTTGGTTTCTAAGGCTCACTGGATCTTATTTCACTGTTGGTAGTTTTAGTTTTGCTCACTGTCCCTTCCACCCTTACTGCATCCTCCCAGTCAGATCCTAGGGCAGTTCTGTCCAAAAGAACTTTCTTTGATTATGGAAATAGTCTATATCTGCATTGTGCAATACAGCTAACACTAGCCATCTGTGGCTATTCACCACTTGGAATGTGGAGAGTGCAACCAAAGAACTAATTTTTTAATTTATGTAATTTTAATTAAATTCAACTTAAATTGCTAGTGCCTATAGTTTTGGACAAATAGTTCTAAAGAGGACTGTTCCTAGTTTCTAAAAGGAGCCACTTTGCAATTACTTTGTGATTACTGAGCAATGCATCAATGCAAATAAATAATGCCTAGGGCAGTGAGGGAATTTCTTCTCAATGAAAGACAAAGTGCAATATATTCAAAGTTGGGCAAAGTTGATGTGCATAAATATCAGCATACTAATTCGGCTGGAACAAGAAAATACTATTTCTTCTAAATCAGAGATGTAATATCTAATTTAAAAATCTCTAATCTAAAAGTCATCATTTCCCCAAGTGTCTAAAGGGTGCAGGTTTCATGAAGTCTTCTTTGATGAAAAAGATCCATTGTCAAATAAGTTTGAAAAATTAGGAACAATTTTTCCCTCTCACAGATTCACATCATCATAATAAAGGCTCTGAGAAGTCCTCCAGTAAATAACTCTGCAAAACATTGTTTAACTCAGTATTACTCCAACACTTTTCACGATGAAAGTGTGTTTATGGGGGTGGATGTAATATTAGCACCTCAACAAACTAGAGAAATATTAGAGTTAATATTATGAACTTGGGGAAAAGGGAAATATGGGTGAATAATACCAAATCTACCACTTATTACAAGCTGTATAACCTTGAGAAAGTCATTTAACCTTGCCGACCTTCATTTCCTTCATTTGAAAATTGGAGATAGTATCTGTATGTTTGAGGCTTGAATGAGGATTAAATGTAATAATGAATATAAAGAACATGTCACTGTTCCTGGGACCAGGTGAATCTTCCCCAGATGGTTAGCTGTTACTATATTATTATTTATGAGGTTAAGTGACTGAATGACCGAGACTTTCTGAGCCCCAAGAGAAATATGTTATGAACTGGTAGAGCTCACTTAACTGCCTTGAAATATTTTTAAGTATTATACTGGAAACCTGGATGTAGGAGTGTTCTTTTCTACCTCCCTTTGTGTATCCTTCACTAATGTACACTCAGCATTGAGTGCCTCTCTGAAATTCATTCTCAACACAACAGCCAGGAGGGTTCTTGTAAACCATAAGTGGGAGCATGTCACTCCTTTGTGGTTCCCCATTTCACTCAAAAGAAAAACTATAGCCTTCATAATGGTCCCCAGGTACACATGATCTGGCCTGTCTGTGCCTCTCTTACATAATGTCCTGCTATTGCTTATTCTACTCTGGCAAACAGACTTCCTTGCTGTTCCTTAGACATGTCAGGAACCTCAGGCTCTTTGCACTTGCCAGTCCCTCCAGTAAGGCATCAACCCCCAGTTATCCACATGGCTCCTTCCCTTACATTCTTCAGGTCTTTAATGAAGTGGTTCCTTCTGAACTCTGCCTAAGTTTGCAGTAGACTCTTACATACTCCTGCCTTCTTCACTCCTCTTCTTTGCTCTACATTTCTTTACTACATATCTGATATGCTATGTTTTATTTATCTGTTGGTTGATGTTTTGTCTGTTTTCATCCTGTAAAAAATTAACTTCATGAGAGCAGAGTTTTTGCCCCTTCCATTCTCTAGCATAACTCAGTGCCTAGGACAGTGCCTGGCACAGAGTAGATGCTCAATAAATGCTTATTGAGTACATATATGCAGGAACTGTTCATGTTTTGTGCTATAGACTAAGTGACTTTCCTCTAAGCCCAGTTTTGAATGACTAGTTGAAGCATGAAACACAGTTGCAGGCCGGTCTCTGTGGTTTTTATTAGTGTTTCCTGGGACCCATCAAACAAAAAAAAAACATATTTGAAAAAATATAATCTTTCTAAAACAGAAATACTTAGTTTGGATTTAACATAGTTTAAAGGGCAAGATTTCTGATTTTTTCAAAAACAGTGGCAGTAGGGTTGTTTCCCACAACTTTTCAGTCGAGAAGCCAAATGGGAAGAAAAGCAGAAATTATGCAGATGCTACTACAAGATTAATCCCAATTAAGCTAAATTTGTGAAGACATACATTTCAGTGGTTCATAAGGCACAGTCTCAACAGGTTCTTAGTAAGTGCTCTATCTCTTACTCCAGAACTGAAATCCTGAGAACCATCCTGAGGATAACTCAGCTCGGATGTTGTGATTGCTATGCTGATCTTTCTTTCACACAGTACGTATCCACCCAGTGGGTTCATATGGAGTATCTAATAAACACCATATAATCAGATAAGCTCCTTACACGTATGGTTCCATGCTGTACACATAGTATGTACTCAACAAATGCTTTTTTAACTATTGAAGACTAGTATAATTGCCTTTCCGTCTTACTACTTTAGCTTTTCCTGTATTTTATACATTTGAAACACAACACACTTGCAGAACTAAATCTGACATGTATGACTAGCCTTACCAAAAGATCCCTCAGTATTTTTCAAAAAGAAAAAAATATAGATACCAAACTGAACACTCTAAAACTTAGGCCTCTTTTACACTTAAATAGAAATTTACATCATATAAACACATTTATAATCTTCATTGGTTAAAACAGGTCATTACTGGCTTCTTGTACCAGATAAGTCTCACAGCTCCTAATAAGGCAACAAAATTCTCATTCCATGTATGTTGACTTGTGGAACCAAGCAACTTGTTTTGGTTTCATCTCAGCACAGGTAGGAAGGCAAAGGGGAGTGTCACAGTAAGATGTTCATCTCATCAGTAATATGTCCTTGACAGCTTGACCACTGTACTCTTATTCCAGTGAAGAAATGATTCACATCCCGATTATGGATATGGCCTCCTGATCCAAGGAGTCTTCCAGAAGACATTTATTCACCCACTCAGCAAATATTCATAAAGGATCTATCTCATGCTAGCTACTGGGAAAACAATATTGATGAGATACAGTCCCTGCCCTCATAGAGCTTACAGCCTAGCAAGGCAGGAACTTTGAGGAAGAAACAATGTGTTCAAAGGAAATCTCATTATCTAGGTCTTCCCTGCTCAGAAGTCAAGTTCAGGAATCTGTAGGTATATCTCTGGGAACCAGGGCCTTGCTTAAGTTTCATCAAGTCAAGTATCTAGGAGCCTTGGTTGACTTGAGTCTGATAAAATCTTAGCAAACCATTTTTTTGCCTCAGGTTCCCATGAAAATAATGATAACAGCCCAAGCCTTTAGTGTAAGGAGCAGTCAAGGGGACCAGTGTAGTGATCATGTGTACACCCAGGACAAACACGTATCTCAAGTAAGAAGTTGTGAGTCCCCAGAGGAAGGGGGCTTCACCTGTTGCTGACTTTCTCTGGGATTTTGCTTTCCCACACAACACTGTGGTAGGAAATATTCTGTTCATACACCAAGTTGGCATGGATTAATTATTTTGAGTTCTCCAAGTCATGAATAGCTCATAGAAAATACATCAAACTCAAGCCAATACAACAGAGAGAGATGCTAAGAACTTAATACTCCAGCCTATTTAAGCAGGAACCAGTTGTCAAGAAACTGTCACTTTCAACAAATAACACCATCTGCTAATTATCCACAGAACTGTTCCATTTGGTACTCCCCAGACTCACTACACAACAGGGATTGCTCTTCTTTGGAGAAGGTGAAGAGAGAGCCAAGGGCAATTTGGAGGAATGTGAGAAACAGATTTGGGGAACAGTGAAGTTAGAGAAGGATTTAGCCACCTTAAGATGATGAAGAGGCAAAGCCAGGGAAAGAACAGCAGAGTGAGAATTAGCAGCTATCTCTAATAACTTTACACAATTCAGACACACAAACATTCAAGCATTGACACCAGTTCAAATATCTGGATGTTTAATTTGTTCTGTGCAAAGTGTAGTCAAGTGCTGGGATGGCCTCACCATTCTATAGCCTTACTTGGAAAAGGTGTGCCTTTGATGCAAGGACATCTCAGATCTGTGCTGTTCATTGTTATTTCTCTTAGTTTCACCAGTAACTGTGACTTGACAACACTAAATAACACCTTTGTGGAGGTGACCAAGCCAGGCAGAAATAAAAATGGACTTGGTTGTACTTTCAGAAGGTCATCTCACTAAGCTGGTGCTATAAGGTCACCATCCATAACGGATCTTATTAGAATTAGGAAAAGTCTTAATTCTTCCTACTTCCAGTCTCCTGAATACATTGCAAAGACTTTGCAACCTTTGAGTATGACTCAGTCACCTCCACTGGGTAAGATACTGGTAGGTGCTCCATTAATTGATGAAGAGTGCTCCTTACTGGTACATGTCCTCATCCCCATTTTATTGCTCAAGATAGAGAGGCAGGAGGAAGAGAAAGCCAAGGATACAGCGAGCCAAAAAGAAAAGCTGCAAAAGGAATCTGGAGGTTCAAACCCATTCTCAAAGTGTCTACAGGTTCATGTTCCTCCCAGATTGCAGAACCCAATAAGTCTCCAGGTACCCCGGGACAGGCTCATCATTGAAGAAGTCTCCAATTCCTTTCTGACAACAACTCCTGAGCTGAGCTTTCTGTTGTTCTCTTCCACCCTTCCTTCCTTTTCTTTCTTAAAAAAAAAAAAATGATTGCAAATCTGGACAATGCAGCATTCACTTTTGGGATGAGAGATTATCCAAAAAAGAAAAGATTATAAAAAGTAACATCAGCAAAGCTTTTCCCTAGAACACTGTCCTTCTCTCTCTCTCCCTGCCTTTCTCAACACACACACGCACTCTTCTCTCCATATTTCCTTCCGCAAAGTCATTTTTACTCTGCTTTGTAATCCCAGTGAAAATGTCTCCTGTTGCAGTTCTCACTACATTACTATGTTTGATTTATCTAATGTTGCCTGTCATCTGGGATTCTGGAAAGAAATCCCTCTAGCTATTTCAACCCACTGTTCCTATCATTTTAAAAATTAAAAATAGATTGCTTTGATGTCTTGGTTTTGCTTCATGCTATGGACTAAAAGACTTCATACATCTTTTTGTTCTGAGACTAAAACGCCATCTTCATCTTGACTGGCTACATCAGTGGTTCTCCATTAAAAGCAACGTTGCCCCGCAGGGGACATTTAGCAATGTCGGAAGACATTTTTGTTCGTCACAACCTGGGGAATGGGCATGCTATCTGCGTCTAGTCGGTAGAAGTCATGGCTACTGATGAACATCCTACATTGTACACAGCAGCCAAATAATGCACAACAAAGAACTACTCAGCCAAAAATGTGCACTGTGCTAATTGAGAAACTATGGATTATAGAAATACAAGAGCAAACTCATCACCACTTCCTGTTTCCCATTTATTTTTAAGCAATTGGCATAAAAATAACCAAGGCTGTACACTCTCATAAATAACTGGAAGTGAGCAGAGGAGGAAATTGAATTTTTGTTACCAGTCATCTGAGGGGGAGGGGGAAAGATAGCCTTGGCATCAGGTAAATCATTCCTGAATTTGTATAAAACCCCCCACCATCATTCTTCTTGCTGATTTAAATATTGCAAGTCAGGAGATAATGCAGTGATTACAGTCCACCTGGATTTTGGAAGTCTTCATTCCCACCCACTGGTTCTTAAGGTCAGGCTAAACTTCCCAGCATCCTCTGGTTCATCCCGTCAATCTGAGATCCTGAGTTCCTCCTAGCAACCATGCTCATCTCTCTTGAGGAGGCCATGTGGATGCTTATGTGCAGAGGACACATCACCTTTTTCTAAATCATTTTGCATATAAAAACATTTAATGCCCTCTTATTTTTTTTCTTTCTCTCAGCAAGAAGCACAAACCCTGCTCTTGCAGCAGAAAAGAACTTCACAACAGAGGAAAAACAAATCACAACCACATACAGCATCATATTTCACAGAAAACTGTGTACGTTTGTTCCCCACATAGGACATACTTCAAAGTAACAAAATAATTTTATCAACTGTAGTGTTCTTTCTTCCCTTTAGAAGTAGATTATTTCTCCCATCATGGTACATAAATATCACAGGAAAGTAGTCTTTTAAATATTTACGTCCAGGAGTTCTTGATTTTTAATCATTTGGGGGCATGTTTTAGTTTGTGGTCAAAGCGTCGACAGCTTCAATTTTCATTTTCTCTCCATCCACGTGCATTCTTCCCAAATTTATATACCAGTCTTCGTCCATCCACACGTTCCAGAATTTCTCTCTTGTAGTAATACCTGTAACAGAAGATATGGCGTAAGGGGCTGTCAGACTAAGATGCCAGGGAAACAGCTGGTCCCTTGGCCTTGCCATGCGGGGGACTGGCAGCCCCTCACCTCATCGCTCGGCTGAGCTTCTCGTAGGTCATGCTACTATTGTTTTTCTTTTTCCCCCACAGCTGAGCCACAGCTTCTGATTTCAAGAACCTGAAGATGCCCTCTGAACGGTCTTCCCACTTGATTAACCCTGGGTTCTTGTCTGGGTTCAGAAGGATGTCTCGGATGAATTCCCATAAGTGTGTCCCTCGAGGATCTGAGGAGAAGTAAAAAAAAAAGGAATTTATTAATGGATGAAGTCATCACAAAGAAGGGAAAGAAGAAGCACGGGGTTGGAACACCTTCTATCAAGTAGGAGAGACTGAATTCTCTGCTACCTGCCAGCAAAGCCAGATTACAGAATCACAAATAGTGGATATGACAAAAGAGGCATTTGAGAATGAACTGGCACAATTTTTTAGTCTATGAATCATGAAACAGACACAGAGAATTTAAGTGACTTGGCCAAGGTCACACAGTTAACTTGTGGCAAAGCCAGGACTGACAGATCTTAGACCTACTATGCCAGAGAAGTTTCTTCTAATCACTGTTGACAGATTGCTTGGGATTTATTTCAACTTGTTACTTCCCAAGAGTGCACATTTCAGCCACTTTTATTTATCACCTCAATCAAGTAAATCACCCCCACCCAGTAACAATGCTTCTGCCAAATACACATCACTAGGGCTCTAGAATTTTAACTCCTAGAATACACTGGGGCAGGGTCTTACAGGGTTGAGGGTCCAGTTTGAAAATAAAGCATCTACTTTAACGAGATTAGCAACCAAATTCGATTTTATCCCCACTAGACTTGTAACACAATACCATACCCACATCCCCAATTTGGCAGGTTGTGTTAATTCAGTTCTGTGGGATGATCTGAAATAGAAAATAGTAAAGATGTCCAATTCCCTATAGTTTCTAGATTATACCATCTTGATTTCTTTTTATGCTCCCACCAACTCCATGTCTCTGCTATTTCATATATTGTCATTTGTTTTTATCACTGAGGTAAATACAACTTCCAAACAACACTGTTGAGTCTTAAGAATAAACTGTCATTTCTTGGATCAACACCTTCACGAAGGTAGAAAGCCAACATTCAGCAAGAGAAAAATGTAGTGCATCTCGGTTGTTTCTTCCCATCTTCCTCTTCTTCCACCCTTTTCTCTGGAGGAAGAGAAATTGCTAAGCCTGTGTCTATAGGAAGTTCTTGTTCATTTGCTCTCTCCATTTAAGAACACATACAACAGCCCAAGAAAGAAGTATCCAGTGGGTCTCCACTTGGAGAAATAAGTGCAGAAGAGGTTACTTTGCCGGCAAGTACTGCCTCTATTTTCTCACCCTACCCAGTCTGTAGTGAAGAAACAGAGGCAGCAGGCAGAGGCAATATTTGTCTAAAATAAGTGGCCTTCAGTTATGCCCAACTTAAAGGGAAGGGCTAAGGGCTGTCTGAAAGCTCATCAACTTACTGTGCTTCTTGGTATGGGACTTGGCAGGGTGATCTTGTTCCTTTTTCACCTCAGGTGACTCTGCTAAAGGGAAAAAGGAGAGCTGCTTAATTTACCTGTCCCCTGCAATCATCCTTTTCATTCATTCATCCACTCAATAATATTTATTGAGCAGCTACTACATGCCTGGCACTGCTCATCTATGTGGTATATGACTCAAACAAAACAGAGATGAAAGGACTATAGAGAAAGACATTGCAGGGCAAGAAATGGGGATAGAAATAAGGAGATGGAAATAATTTACAATTTACTAAAAAGGTAGTGGTCACAGCAGACCTCTCTGATAAGGGGACCATAAGAATGTGAAGGATACAGTGATGCAGAGAGCTTGTGGAAAAGCCTTCTGTGAATGAGAATGGTAAGGTACAAAGGCCCAGAGGTTAGTGTGTGGTTTGTATGTCCACACAACAGAAGGAAGCCAGTGTGGTGGTGAGTAAGGGGCAGAGGGTAGGTAGGATATTGAGGTTCATATCATTAAGGCTGTTAGGAATCTTTTTTTTTTTTTTTTTGGATTTTAGCTTTTATTCTGAGAGGGAAGGCACTGAAGGACTTAGGTCATTGAAAGATTTGGGATTTTTTTGTTTTGTTCTGTTTTTTTTTATATAACACAAAAAAATGGTAAACATTTATAAAAAAGAAAAATGGCTCTTAAGCCAGAGGAGTGCCTTTTTTTGGCATGCAAAGTTACATTTTAATCAGCCTGACAAAGGGGCCATTGACTGATCTGAGCTTAGTACAGAGAGCCACCATGGACTATGGAAACACAGTTCGGCTTAACAAATGACTCATGATGGTGACCCTGTGACTGCCACCAGAGGAGATGACAGAGGCAGTTCTGTGAAATAAAACTTAAAAGAAGCCTAAATGATCCAGCAGTGTGTGTGTGTGTATCCGTCAGCGTGCACTTCCAACATTGGGAGAACCACGGCAGACCTTACCAAAAATTTCCATAATCAAAACTCTGCCAATTTTAAAACAGAGTAGTCTCTAAATGCAGGCCAACCCTGTTAAGAAGCTGGGCCAGTAAAACCCATCTCTTTTGTGTGCATTCCATCTGGGTTTCCTGACCTAGGGCCACGGACCCACGGATGGTGCAGCATTCAAGAGCATTTCAGACTGAAACTGCCATAAGAGGGGAGGGCCCCTAGCACTCATCTGATTGTCAAGAGTGGTCTATCATACAAAAACTTTTGGATAACCATTAATCCTAATCAAAATGGTCAAGAAGAATAGCTACTGTTCATTGAGCACTTACTGCATATGAGGTGCTATGCTACGCACTTTACACAATCACTTTATTTATCTCACACAACTATTATGCGCTATTATGATGGATGGTTCACAACTACGGAAGAGCTGAGACACAGAGAAATCAAATGACTTGTCTAAAGTCACACAGCCTGAAAGCAGAGCAGGGATGTAAACACAATTTGAACCAAAAGCTTTACTCACAACCACTAATCTATGCCATTTCCAAAGATGATGGCACATAACAGATTTCACAGAAGTCTTCTCTACCAAGAATCAGTTCTATAATGCTCTAGTCGGTAGGAATAAGCAATTCCAATCTGATGATTCCTTATTTCTCAGCATGCATGGACACATTCACTTATCTGATCACCCAGCTTGTCACAACCAAGCTCTCCCAGCAGTTTCTTTGAAAGCCATGGTGGATGGAGGCAAGGAATTTAGTAAGATCTGGCTATAAGAAAAATCATGTACTCTGGTTAAGAATTTCTCCCTTACCCTTGTCAGCAGGAGGACCTGCACCTGACTTGGGTTTCTCTGAAATCTGGAAGGACAAATTCACAGGAAATGTAAAGAGACTTCACTCTCCCTCCCTGCAGGTTTCAGGGTGAGGTTGCAACACCCCATCAGGATGTGACAATATTGCGACAGGTCTGGCACCCACCCCGGTTTCCAAGTGATACATCACTCTGACAGGACCGTGTTGTTCTGCAGACAAAGAGTGGCATTTACCCAGCAGGCCACAAGCAAAGCTCATTTTCAAATGGCATCCAGGAGAGATGCAGGGCTATTATTTCAGAGCCAGGGTTGAACTTAGAAAGACCCGAATGTCTCTCAGTTTATTGGCCTCAGTCATTGTTCAGGGGTTCCAAGCTGATGCAGAATCAGTCACTTTGGGATTAAGGTACTGTTGCGACTAAGATGGAAACCTTGGGCCCTCTCTCCAGAAGAACGCACATATGTGTATGCACATGAATCTATAAACAATTTCAGGAGCTTGTGGTTCACTGAGGAGTCCATGGACTCTAGATTTAAAAACCCCAGACCAGATAGACTATGAGAGAATTTTCTTGCAATGTCAGCCATTTACCCAGGCTAGACCTCCAGCCAGATTAGGAAAGATAAAAAAAAAAAATCCCCAAATAAAAATGTTTCTGTCACCACATGGAGAATTATGCAGCCAAAGGCAAAAGAAAATTCCAATTTCTTCCAGCATCTCCCCATTCCCCAGTGTGCAGAAACAGCTGCAGAATTACTGGGCAGTCTAACACCACAGTCTTTTGATCTGAAACTTCATTTTTATATGATGGCCTCTCCCCCTATGCCTTCTCCTCTCCTCCAAATAAAAATCAAAACTTTTGAAGTTAGCCATATGGTTAAGTGATTCATTCTTATAAAATAATGACTTGCTCTGGGGAATTGTCCAGCTTGGCTTTCTCTCCATCTGCTCCCAGGCACTTCAGGCCAAGGTCCAGCCCAGGCAGGGGTAGCACCAAGCCACAGGGTTCTGATGCAAGTTCTAGAACATGACTTCAGCTAAGCTGCTTCTCAAGAAGAGAAGATTAGAAGCATTTGCATATGATTCAGCTGTGAGCCATTTCTTTACGGGATATACAAATGTCAGTGTTATAATAGACCGTGCCACCCTAGCTTTAGGCTCAACAAGTCAGTGAATAAACACATCAAGCCTGAGTTGGCGTGATTGGCTCGAGGACTATCGGGCAGATCAGGAACACTGGTGGCAGCATTTTATGAAATGGACAGATGACAGAGAAATCAAAACAAAGCCCGCTTCCCCACCTACGTTTATCATAGAGGGCATCAGTTTATGTTGGGCCTCGCCTTAGCTCAGCTTGTAACTTGCATTAAAACATAGAAAGACATTTAACTGCTCTCAAGTTAATGGGAGCTTGAAATCTACAGACTCAGACAAATGGCAAAGGTCTTTTGGGGATTAAAGGGGTGTGGGGGGGTGGCAGGTTTCTGGTTCTATCCAGTAGAAACCGAACTATCCTGAAAGGAATTGGCTCATACAAGGCTGTAATTAACTATCCCACTGGAGGGCTGTTATTCGAACCCCAGACACTGAATTGATTCTTTAAGGGATAATTCTGACAGAGGCCCTGGATTGCTTATCTCACTTTCCAGCCAGTGCTATAATTGTAGAATAGGAATGGGGAACATGAGGAATCAAGGATCAAGGCAGGGTCAAGGAAAGCACTTTTGTAAAGCCCATTTAAGAAGGATTCTTCAAAAATAGAATGGGCAAGCTCAGGAGATAGTGCATTCCCTGTTACTACAAATGTGAAACAGAAATTGGCTGCACTGATTCTGAGATACTAGAAGGTAAGTCAGGATACAGAAGAGAGAAAAGCAGTCTGTGAGGGCAGCAGAGCTGTGATGGTGGCTTTAATAGGTTTCCCAGGTACCTCAAGACCTAACACCCCTGAGGCTTGGGAAGTGGTTGGTTCAACTTTATTCTCAGTTGGAATCTTTTGCCATAAGCCAAAGACCTAACTGGAAGGACATCAGAGGTGGCACCTTAGAAAGTGTGAAAGGAAGTCAGAGGGCAATCAGAATGGTTTCCTCAGCTCTAAAACCCTTGGTCTTGACTGGGTGGCAATGATTGCCACAGAAATTTGGCCCTGATTGGCTCAGTTCCCCCAGAATGGGAAATCCACTGCAGAAGCTTTCCAGTGTTTGATCTGTTTCCTAATTTCAACAAATACTTAGAGTGACACAAAATGTGATGAGCTGCTGGAAGGAGAGAGAAGTAGAGAAATGAATCAGCCTCCTCTCTTAACCTCAATTACAGAAGCATTTACACTGGCTCCCAGCCCTGTCTCATTCAAGGGGCTTGATCCGAACAAAACCTCAAACCAAAAGCTTTCATTATTTCAGTTCTCAAAAACACACTCAACAAAAAAAAAAAAAAATGAGGAGGGGTTGTTGTTTCATTCCATGCTTTCTTTCACAAACACTCATTTAAATCCCAGTTTTGAAGTTGTTCCAAACTCAATTCCAGGAAAAGAGCAATTCACTTGTGATAGGTCTAAGCCCCATTTTATAGACCCAAACAGATCGACAAGTTCACACCCAGATCAAGGGACAACATGAAAGCCTCTATTCACCTCCCCGTGAGTTCATTCCTAACAGTACATGCCAGTGTCCCATTTGTAAGGGGAGGGGAAATATAGTTTGCTAACCCCTCTTCCAGACTCCCAACAGACCAACCCTCTCACTAAGTGCCACCTTGATTGACAGTCATGGATGGCTCCCAGTTGCATCTATTCTTAATCAAATATATCAGATGTGAACAGAATTCATAAAGCATAGGCGGTCTGACTATAGGTGGTCCTGATGAGCCATCAGGGTCAAACTTAAAAACTGTCCTATAATTCTCAGGGTTCTAGAAATTTCCAGTTACTACCCTTCTACCCAGAGACAATCACCACAGTTTCACTGAGCTCTGGATGCCACTGTGAGACATTCTTTCTCTAACACCAAATATAATATACATTAAAAATCAAATACAGCCTTCTTCCCCCATAAGTATACCCAAGTATGAATAATTTTATCAGATAATCTCCCAAGAGCAAGGTTTTGTTGAAGAGAGAGTGACTTGGTTTCACAGGAGAACAACACTTTCCCTAGAGGCATCATTGCTGGTCATTTTTAATGTACAAATATTGGCTTAAAAGCAGACCTTTTATAAATACTAACTCTAATCCTTCCCTAGTCTTTTAGTGAGAAAGGCACCAGCAAAGTGAAAACATGGGATTTGGGTAATGCTCATTAATTTTCAGTAAGCACTTGCACGAGGCATACTCAGCCTCAAATGTCAGGACTGCTTACCAACAGAAAGGTGACCAGTTGCTGTCATAGAGATCTGGGCCCGGCAGAAAGTCTTGCTGTCCAGCAAATCTGTGACAGTTAAAAGGTAAAGGACATTAAGAGCCCCCTCCTTACAGTATAACCCTGTGGCTATTAAAAAAAAACAAAACAGAATAAGAATGTAAAAGGGCCACAAGTGTTAGGGAGTTAGTTACCTACTGTGCCACCATAGTTGGTATCATATAAATAGTTTTCTTCTTTCCAGGTGTTCATGATGGAAGGGTCTACAAAGGACAAAAAATGAGAACAGTCAGCCATCAGTTTCCCCTGGTGAAGCGTTTGCTTTTTCTAACTCACTGTTCACCCATGAGGCATGGAACTTGGGGATGGTCCTCTGAAAGAAGGGATACGATTCTGCTTCAGCCCCATATTACTGTATAATAATGTTACCTCAGTTTTCTTCCAGGGTCCTGGGGGAAATGGCCTGTGCTATGGTGCTATCCATGTGTTCTATACTTTTTGCCTTTTTAGGGAAGTTGCAACAGTGAGATCTTGTCCTAGGCCAATGCTTTGGCTTCCTGGAAATTTTCCCAGGCTGCTCATGGCAGGGGGTGGGTTCAGGAGCCTGGCATTGTCTTGCATTCTACTGCAAAATCACCAAAATACTTTTACATTAGAAAAAAATCATTGTTAGGGACAAATAAATTCATGATTAATCAATATGTGTTCCTAGTGAAATTTTCCTAGGAAAATTAATTATGTTTCTTTCAGAAAAAGTCTGGTCAGTCTTATCACAGTGTCTTCATTGCTGAAATCTAGAGTCTCTCCTCAGGTTAGGGGATAGCCTCCTCCCTTCAGGATCTCTCCAATTAGCTTAAGGGGTGACATATAATTCCCAGAACAAAACTGAGGAGAAGGAGAGGAGAGTGTTTCCAAATAAAACAAAAAACTTTAAAGAATAGGGCCCCATTGCCCCATCTCGGAAAAGGAAAGAGTACCCAGTCTGTCTCTCTCTCCGTCTCTCTCTTCAATGTGTGCTGGGTAAGCACGTCTCACTCTAATTGACTCTTCAGATTTCAGATTCAAAGGAAATTCCCCTCCACCTACCCAAAATGACACCCAACTCCTATACAACCCCATGTCTGGGCTGGTCTCCAACAGAAGCATTTTCTTTTCTGGCTGGCCATGAGCTGTAAGACCTGGCAGGAGTTCTCATCTGTCCCTTCCAGGACTTCCTGCTTTCCCCCTTCACAGGTCTAGGCTGCCTTTGGCTCTCCTCCTGCCCAGGTTCTGAATTTCAGAGCCAGAGTGGTAAGCCATGACCGAGTTTCATTTTGTTTTTATAGCATAAATGGTATAAAACCTGACTCACTGGCTAAGGCCTCCTGTTTACGACATAGGGATTTAGCTGGTATTTTAACTAATAGCTACGTGTTTGGGCACCCCAAGCCCAATCTCTTGGGGTTACACCCTCTCTCCTTGTTGGGTCACCTCATACACCTGTTGTTGTCTCTGAAAACAAACTGAACCAAAAAGATTTGGGGGTGTTGGTCTCTCTATGAGCCTCTTCTCCCTTCCTCCCAGGGTGGACCTTCTTCTCCACCCTTCGGCTCAACTTTTCTGAACTGGCAACACAAGAATGTCTGGATAGTCAAGGAGGAAATATTGATTTGTCTGGGACCTCTCCAATACCATTCTGGCTCCTAGTTCTCTGTCAGGTCACAGGGGATAGGGCACCATCCTCTTGGCCAAGTCCTGTGTCAGCCTCTACACCAGTCAGAACCTCAAACAGACCATCTGTATAACCCAACCCCAGGTCTCTGTGAGGGGAAGGGCAAAGCTAGGGAAACCTAATTAACATGCTTAGCAGCTATTGTTTTTTGTTTAATAATAGCCAACTAGATCCCTTATAAAAGAGTAAATAATTGTATGGGGCCAATTTTGGTGCCTAGTGACTCACAAATCACCTGAGGTCAAATTCTGTCTTTGGTGACTAGCATGCAACCCTCAGGGAGGCCTGTGGCTCTTCTCGCTGCAGTGGACATGGGGAGTGACCACGGAGTGGTGGCAGCTGCACGGTGTTTTCATGGACAGTAGACTTTGGGGGACTCACAAAGCTCTCCCTAGACTGAGAGGTCATAGGTCAAAGATCAGTATGTCAGGAGCTCTGAGTGTTGCCAGGCCTTGGGGCACAATGTCTTGAGGCAGTTACTGCCCCCTGCAAGCCCAACTAAATCATAGAAGGTCCCCAAGACAGAGATTTGGGACAGATGAAGGATGGGTAACTAGGCAGGGGATGAGAACATAATTGAACGTAGATGCCATGAGGCTGCAGACCCTACTCAGAGCCCAGAACAGGGTCTGCTAAAAGTGCACAGAAGGCAGGAATTGGGTCCCACTGCTGCCTTTGAACACTCATATAGAAGCTCGTAGGGCCCCCCAGAAACTATAGTAACTTGATAGCAAGCCCGCATCTTCCTCCATTTTGTGAAACACGCTCCCACCAAAGGAGTGTGGGGAGATGAGACACTGACCCTTGTCTTCTCCTCTTACTTCTCCTACCTGGGCCATGTCCAATCCCCTGACTCTCTTGGTGTGAGAGGGAGGACCACTTACACTGCACTCTTCCTGGCTCCTGAACTGGATGGAGCCTGGGTGATGCCCTGACCAGCAGTGAGCAGCAAAGAGTATGGACACAATTAGGCTCGCCATCAGTCAAGACATCAGAAATAGTTGGCAAGGAATGAGGCTCGTGGAGGGGTGGCCCAGTGGACACAACTAGGAAAGAGGTGTCCCTGGGTTTCCTGCCAAAACACGGATCCATCCTGCTCCCACACTCCCTCTAGCGCTCCCTCCCCATTGTCTTCCCAGGGCTTTTCCTACCAGGCTGGTTCCCTTCATCTGTTACTACTCACCTGTTTGTTCTGTCTTGACAATGACATTGTGTGTGGACTGGAACAAGTCACTGCTGCACTGGCCTGTGAAGGACAGATTGGGAAAATCAGAGTGGGCCCACAGGGAGCCAAAACCTGATGCTGAAACAAGGACAGAGCTGGTGTCTTGGAAGAGCTTCTGCCAGTCCCACTGCCTGTTCACCTTTGTTTGCTTATGGGACAAGGCTTCCCTCTCAGCAGCTACAAACTCAAGCCTGGAGTCCTTGACCCAGAGAAGCAGTAGCTGGGGCCCCCTCATCAGATGGAACTACTTGGCCTTGCACAGGGAAGACATCTAGTATGGAGGAACTAGAACCTCAGAAGTCAGAAGACCAGTTTTTTCACTAAGAGCTGCACAGCGCTTCACCTTTCTGGGTCTTGGCTTCATCATCTGTAAATTTGGAGGATTAAACTAGATAAAGTCATTAGATGGCCTCTAAGGTGCTTTCTAATACTGAGATATGATATCAAATGATAACAAAAATACAGGGAAAACCATTTTAATTTAACTAGCTTGGTTCTTCTTTGGTCTTAAATTGAATCAGAATTTTGATTGGATCCAATCTATCAGGTATTCCTGGATAAATGCATTGATCTTCCTTTGTTTATGCCTGCAACACTTCTCTAAAAGTATCATACACATAAGCACATATGTACATCTGAATGAGGCTAGGGTGTTTTTCTTCCCCAGCCAGACTACAAATATCTCAAAGCATAAATATTATCTCAGAGATTATAAATGACTTCAACTTAACTCTCTGATCTTCAGTTTTCCCATCTGTAAAATGGATACAATATTTGTTTTCTCATAAGGTCATTAAATGAGTCAATCCAACTGGAGTATCCAGTATAAGTAAACACTCAATAAATGTAAGCTCATAGAACATCTACAAAAAGGCAAACAATGAAACAAAGGTGAGAGATCTGGTCATTAGGCTCTCAGAGGCACCAGCAGCATGCAGTGGGGCATGGAGCCAAACAAGCCATGGAACGTCCAAGAGGGCCGGAGCGCCTCCCAGGCCTCCCTGCCTCAGGCTTTAATCAGGGCAAAACTTCAAAGAAGAGGATTTAATTGGAGGTGGGGAGGTGAATATTTTTAATTTGTCAAGTAAATAGGCTCTTTCTGAAGATTCCTGGGGGCTAGTCATAGAGCCTTATTTGGTTTGGTTATAGTAAAAGAAAAATGAGCAACCATCTTTGTGAGGTGGACAGAAGGGAGTGCCCGGCTTTAGGAGCTCATCCTGAATGGCCGCCACAGCGGCCGGCTCCGCAGCCAGACTCCGGGTCCTCCTCGGTGCTGATGGCAGCTGGCAGGGTCTCAATCTGGTTCACAGCCCTGGAACTCATGCTGCCCAAGCCCTTGCTACTTGCCCAAACACAGGTTCTGCTGAGACAGACATGCCTGTTCTCATGTGGACAGGCCAGCTCACTATTCTTCAATATCACTGCTTTTCAAGTGATCATTTTTTACTGGCATTACCAGGAGAACCTTATGCCAGGGTCAAAGACACACCACGATGAGTTGTCTACCCTGCCGTGCCTTACAAGCCAGTATAAAATGTGTCCATGTGTGAATCAGCTATCACGAATGGACAGCATTTGGAGTGGTAGCCTATTTGTATTCCAGGTGAGGCCTCGAGAGACATGTTTGGGGCCCTAGAGCAGTATCAGTTCCAGAAATCACTGCAGAAACATCCCTCATATGTCCAGACCATTAGTCCTAAATCTTTTTTTTGAGTTTTAGATCTTTTAAGGATCTGCTGAAATATTGTGAGCCTCCTCCCTTCCCAAAACGCAAACATAGACCTAATTTTGCATTACCTTCTTACCAGCCTTAGGGGCCATTTTAAGAACCTAGGTTTAGAAGTAAAAAAAAAAATAGCCATGATAATCTTAACAAACAGGTGATTGGGAATTTAATTACTGAGCCCTGTTTTCAGGGGAAAGAAGAAAAGTTTTCCTGAGAGTAGCAAGTATTCTGTGGATCCCTTGCTAGACCTTGTCTCCTTGAAAATTAACCATAGAAGAGAATGAAATCACACTGGGTTTTATGGATTAGACACACCACATCCTTGAGCTTTGCTTATCTTCTCTCACCTTCCTTCTCCCTCCCTACCTCGGCAACCAGTATTTGGAGGTGAGACCATCCTTTGATGTCCCTGACAAGGAACCCTGCCACTGTGAGTCTGCACTCCTCCCAGCAGGCTCCTAGTGGGTAGGGAGAGAGGTAGTCACCATTCCACTTGAGATGCTGCAAGTTGTTGAAGAGGAGCTGCCCCGCCGTCCCCGCTGCCCGGGTGAACTCTTGCAAACTCATGCTGCAGAGGTGCTCGCCATTGATATCGAACTCCTGGAAAGGGATGCAGCTGGCGTCCAGCTGGTTGGTGTCCAGGAGATGCTGGAGCCACTCCCATACCTGGTACTTGGTCCAGTACTGAGGATGGATTTCATGCCACTGGCCTCCAAAAAACCCGCTGGAAACTGCAAAACAGGAGGTGGTCCTGTGAGTGACCCGTGCTTGGTCCTGGGCATACTAATCTCAGATGTGGGGATGCACTGCTGGTTGCCACATATCATGGGGAGCACAGGCACAGTCCGTGGGCACCAGTGTGTGGATTGGAGCATGAGACAGGCTCTGGGCAGGAGGCTCTGAGAAAAGGTGGTTCTGTCCCCACTTGTGGTGGGGCCAATCACATAACCTCCATGCATCTTCATAACCTCCCTAGCATAGAACTTACCCCTGGGTGCTAGACCAGGACACAGAGCTGAAATGCTATCAGGTCAAAAGCTTGTTCCCCACCTCCTGCAAAGTACCATGAAACTAAAACATTGCTACAGTTTCATCAGCTGAGCTTATTGTCCACACCCACATAGTTCTCTCCCTCTCTTCTTCTTTTTTCTCTCTCCCCCATTCTTTCCCTCTCTTTCACAAGCACCTAGACACATACATACTCAAATTTTAGACCATTTTCAAGGAACAATGAGACCTTAGAGTAAGGTTCTTTTCCCTGTGATTACTTTGCTTCTTCCCATAGGGATCCAGATCATCCATCTGTCAACTGTACTGATGTGCCCCTGCCCTACACTGGTTATTATAGCTGTACTATAAGGTCACTTCCCTATTCAGTTATCTTCACTCATTCCCTATTATCCACTGAAATTAGGTACAAAACTGCTAAGCCAGGCACTGAGGCTCTTCACTATTCTTCAAGTGACCTATGACGTCTGCCTTTTTTCCTATGCTGTTCTTTTAACCTGGTATATATTCTGCCAATCACTCCCTGTTGGATTCTTACCCAGCTTGCAGACTTTGACCACCCTGTGAGGCCATCACCAATCCCCACAACCTACTGTGAAGACTTGTTATCCCCTGAACTTCCAGGAGACACTCTTGTATTTCTCCTAATAGCTTTTGTCTTGTTCTGCTTTTCATCAAGGGTCTCTTAAGTACTTCGTAAATTGTGTGCTCAAAGTCATAGACTCTGTCTTACTGATCTTTGTTTCTTCTGTTAAAAACCACCTCCGTGACTTTGCCATTATAGGTGCTTGCTCTGTATTTCTTTAGTGGAATTTGTGGCCAAAGAAAATATAATGTAGGAATCTGAAAGAATTGTGGGGTGCATTCACGAGATGGCTAAATCAAATACCAGTGTCTAAGTGAAGCTTAGTCAAGCCAATAAATACTGCTGAGCCTAAGTTGGCCTTGCCATCCCTGTATGTGACTCTCTCATGTTCACTTAAGAGAACAGCACAAAGTCAGCCCAAAGTCCTGGGGGGCTTGGCAAAAATGCAACAGGGCTGAGAGATCTTCCAGTTCCCTTGAAAACAGAGGTCAAGGGAAGGAGCTCTCTTCCAGGAAAGGTGAGAGGCAGGGACAAGGGGAAGACACTGCTGCAGCCCACCAAGCTGAAGCAGGGGAGCTCCAACTGAACATGACACATGCGAATATTCCCCACAAATTCAAGGATGGACCAGTAGAGAAAAACATAATGCAAGAATATTGTCCCTAACTTTTTCTTCAAGATCGTGCTAGATCAATACCTCTCTAACTGTAATGTAATTATGAATCACCAGAGAATGTTGTTCAAAGGTAGAATCTGATTCTATAGACCTGGGGTGAGACCTGCGTTTCTGCATTCCTAACAAGCTTCCACATGATGATGATGATACTGGTCTGTGGATACAGTCTGAGTGACAAGGAGCTAAAGAGCTCCAAAAGGTTTGATTCCTCTAATGGCCATAGCCTAGCCCTCAACACCCCTGGAGGAGAGCTGAGGCAGGAATGTTTCCAGCCCAATTCCACTTTTGCTCACCCCCTCAGAATCCACCCACTACTTAGAGACTTCAGAAGCACTAAGAGCAGTAGGTCTAACTAATTTGGGCACAAAGGTGTCTGCCATGGGTAACACCTGCCACTCACACTATACGCTTTACTTCTCATACCTCATGGCCAGACGAATCAGCCCTAAACCCTCAGCTTGCACTCTGAAGGGGAAGTCAGTGGAAACAGGATGGGAAAAATCTAGTCCAAAAATTTAATTATGTAGAAATATCCCTAAATACACACACACACAAAGCTTAGATTGGATATCTCCATTTCCCTCCATTTCGATGGTGTCTCACAAAAATAACTGTTTAAGGATGGGATATATTTTTTGTGTATCCCTGAGTCTTCAATCTTTAATTATATATATATATATATATANAGAACTTTAAGAATTATGCTGCTGTGACAGTGCAGCTCTGGGTTTACAAAGAAAAAGCAACTCTCAACAACAGAATAATAGACCTGGAACAATTTCTTTTCTCAACTTCACATGATCTAGATTCAAGGACAGTTCCTGATATTGTGCCCTGTCAGAACTTGGGAGACCAGAGAACTTTGTCTGAAGTTAACTGGGGGATTCTCCTTATTAGCCAGCAGACTCACCAGATTCCTGGAGTTTCAGGAGAAACACTGAAAATTCTGTGGGTTCAGCTCTTCTCTGTGATTCAGCTGGCCTCCCCCACCTCATCAGTCATGACCGGGAGGTAGCCCTTTTTTGAGTCCTCTGGAAGTTAAGAAGTAAAAGTGGCACCTAACTTCTAGTCCCTGTTAATACATTGCCCCAGCTTTCTCCAAAGCAAATGGGGGCCACTGCTTTAATACAGGGCCCAGGGGTCTGGGGACTTGCCAGCCTGAAGAACCTTTTTGCCCTGTTTGGAGTTCTCCTTTGAGATTCCCACAAGGAATCTAAGATCTGCAGCAAAAAATGTTAGTGCCCAAAAAGGGGAGCAATCTGGTGGGGCAGGTGATCAAGGTCACCTGATCACTCTATGACCATGTGTGGCTGGGGTTCCAAATCGAAAGAGATGCTGCTGCACGGGGACAGGCTGCTTACTTAAGATGACCCTTCCCTTATCCTCCCACTCTGCTTCCCCGACTCTGCTCACCAGCAGGCTATTTTCATTCAAGGAAAGCAAGAGCAGCAGAGTCTCTGGCAAGGAAATTAGCAACAGGTATGGGATGGGAGAAGGGCCCCAGTTCCTTAAACTCACTGCACTGTGATGCACAGAAATCTGCCTAAATTGAATGCCTTCACAGTGTGGTGGGGGGCTAACTCAGCAACCACTTTATTTAGTTCAGCTTCTACAGTTGGCTGTGAGCTTGATCACCAAACCCTCTATAAGCACCCCCACCAGACCCTCCCTCTACTAATCAATCAGTTCTAGATTAAGGCACTAAAGGAGGATTCATGGTCTCCTAACAAATCTCCCCTCCCCTTACAAAGGGAGATCACTGGAAGATGAAACAGAAAGAGTAAACTGCTATAACCCTCTCCACCTTAACTTGCATGCCTCCGCACAACACACACATGTACACACACTCCTTTGTCTCCTATTCTATCTGGATATCCCAGCCAAACACTGTTAAAAGCTTCAACGAGTAGCCTTCCCTTTGGGCATCTCTTCTGCCACCCTCTCTGCCAGGCTACCAACCCAAGGTCTTGAAAATTGGGAGGAAACAATAGAATATCTCAAGTGAGTTTCTGTTTGGAGCCCCGGGGATCTGTGAGGACCTCCAGCATAAAGAGTTTCTCTGGTTCCCACAGCCCCTGCCAAATAAAACCTGCATTTTTCAGACATTAGGTTGGGACATGAAGCCTAATAAAGCAAAGGAAGAAACCCCGTGAAGAGCGACACTGGCACCCACCGGCCCCCTTACCATTGCACGTGGGATAGCTGTCTGTCCAGGCTGGCTGCTGGTGGAGGAGGTTGCTGTTGGGGTTGAGATTCATTACACCACTTCCTTCCAGAATCATGATCTGTAAGGGGATCAACAGCCCGTTCAGTCAGTCAGCACCTCTTGGACAAACGTCATTTGAGGATACAGATCATAGAGTTAATTTAGGAAGGAAAAAAAAAAGAATTTGTCCTTCCATCTATTGCCTCCAAAGCATGTTACCACAGCCCTTTCAGTAAAAGCAAAACTCACTGGCAATTAAAAATTTCCAGGCTCAACTTTCATATGCATGAGGCAAGTTTTTACAGCCACCCATTCATAAATGAATAATCTCTGATCAGGAATGAAACAGGAGGAAAATGCAATACCTGCTTACAGGGCGAGTCTGGCCAGCAGCCAAAGGGTTTTTTTTTTTTACAAAAGTGAAAATGCCAAAGAGATCTTGTTTAAAGTGGAATTGCAATCAATGAAATCCAAGCTGGTAGCAGTGTGGACCGGGCACCTGTGCAGGAGCTCTGACCTGATGTCAGACATTCGGAGGTCCCAGCACACCTGAGCAGCCCCGTGCCCAGCAGCCAGAAGTCTTCTCAGCACATGTATCTGCCATGGGAAGGGCTGGTCCCAGAGGACCTTAGTCATGTTTTACCTAGAGTTCCTCAAGTATTCAGCTCCATGAGAATATCAGGGATCCATTGGTTTCTCTGACAACACACTGCCCCATCCCTTCCTTCCTGGTGAAAATTCTGACCAGCTTTCCCTCTCCCTGTAGAGCCCTGGAGAATACCTCTGGCTACAAAGCTGACCTGAAGGTAACTTTCTCAGTCTGAGGGCACATTTTCTCTGTGAAGGACCAGGAGAAGAGCCTTTCTTCCATGGGCCTGTTGGGATTTTTTAAACAATGTGAAAATCTTACACTTTAGAAATATTCACCTCTATCATCCAGCATCTACAGTTTTCTCTTACCCTCGAGCCAGGCACTCTAGAAGTGTGCTCAATCATTCAAAAGAAGAGCAGCCTGTTTCCAGAAGATGACTGAGCATTCCCCACAGCCTATAAAGGTAACTTGCTCTTTCTAAAATGTTTAGAAGGAGAGAGGGGAGAGGTAAGGAAAGCAGGCTAGCTTTATAGCAGCAGCCACGGAAATTTTTCCACCTGTTTGGGGGATATCTTGCATCCTCAGGTGTGAACAGTGCCCCAGGATGGAAACTGCCCAACCAGAGTGGTTCCAGCCCTCAGAGCCCTGCCCTCCAACTCAGCTCCTGCTCCTCTGGTTCTATGTAGGGCTTGAGAGGGAAGCAGAGTGGTCTGGAAAAGGCATAAAAATTCATTCATGCATTCATTCAACAGATACTGATTAGCCCTACAAGGGGCTGGGTACTGTTCTAGGGACTGGGGCTAGAGCAGTGATTAAGGGTTGAACTAGGCTAAGCAGGATCATGTATGATGATTATTAACATTATCATCAAGGCTGTTGGACAAATAATTAGGCCTGAATGCAGCCTAAGAAGAAGGTAGAGAAGGAAAGACAGCATGGGAATGATAAACACTGTAACAGAGCCGGGGTGACAGATCTGGGTTCTATGGGGTGGGAGGGGTCACCACAAAAATGTGAGTTTTGAAGCCAGAAAGAGATGCGATTGATTCCAAGCTCTACCACTTACCAGCTAAGGTTAGTACTAACTCAGACAAGTTATTAGCCTTGCCGAACCCCAGTTTCCTCATTGGAAAACTGCAGATCCCCATCTACCATGTGTGTTGGTTAGTGATTAAATGAGCTTCTATACCTGAAGCACTTGGTACAAGGTAGGGCTCAAGTGCATGGCAGGTGTATGAAAAGAATCATACACCTTTGGATAACCCAAACCAGCAACAACCTGGGCCTCAGTTTCCCCATGAAAAAATTTAAAGAAGGTGACTAAGTTGATTCTTAAGTTCCCTTCCAGAAATCTCTGTGATTCTCTTTCTCAGAGAAGGAAAACCAACTCAAGTGAAACCCCCCTCTCCTTTTCATAGTAACTAGTCCTTTTCCCATGGGCTTTCTAGAGCAATTTCCCTAAGCTAAGAAATGAGATGGGGAACTTTAAGGCAAGAGAAAACCACCAGGCCCCCAGAGGTTGGGAGAGGGGGGCCTGGCCCCAGGCTCCTGTTTGCTCAAGGCTGGGCTGGTTCCTCGCCAGCATTTGCTCAACCACAAGCAGTAGAAAGGTTACTGTTTAACCCTGAAAGGGCTGAAGCTCAGAGCCCATCCCATCCGCATGGAGGGTTGCTCAGCCCTCCAGGGTGCGGGGGATGGGTAGGAAAGGCTTCCCTGAAATTCTTTGTGTGGGGGGTTGTTTCAAAGTGGCCCTTTCACTGGAAGCAAGACCTGCCTGGTCAACTGTGAGCTACTCCTCAGCAGGCTCAGGATTTCTCTTCACCACTTCCCAGAAAACTAGAAGGCAGGGTAGTGTGAGGGCAAAGCACCCCAGCTTTGGTGGTGGGGTGATAAGGGCTCAGGCCTTAGGTTCCCTGCTTACTGTGCATGACCTTGTGCAACTCCCAAGTCTGTCTAGCCAAAGACGTCTGATCCTCATTTTCACCACCTCTAGAAGGCAAATGACCTCAAACTGAAAGGGCTCTGACTATCAAATGAGCTTGTCCATGTAGAAAGCTTAACAGGTTGCAAGACAATGCAGACCAGTTCTTCCCTAGTGACCAGATGCCCACAAGCTCCTCTTCCAGGGCAGACAGTATTTTTCATCATGACCTCCTAGAGGCATCAACCCACAGAGAAGCCTTTACGACTTGGGGGTCACAGCTGCCCCAAGGTCCCTCAGCCCCCCAAGAGGCTATCCCGGACCCACAAGCCTTGTTCCCTGTTGGCACCCTCTTTCCTAGGGAAAGAAGCCAGCATGGTAAGGGGCCCTTTTTTATAGGGCACAGTAAATGGTTACTATCCATAAAAGTGTTTATGTGACTTAACCCTTAGTGAGTCAGAGCTCACCTGAGAATACCCACATTTGTGATGAAAGAAGGTCAGCTTGTCAAGCCCCACATGGTGCTGCAGGGACAGTGCCCTTAGGGTGGGCACAGGAGGCCCCGGACTAGCATAGGGCCTTCCACCAAGTCCCACCCACTCAGAGGCTCAGTTCTTCAGGTGCAAAATGAGGACATTTGACCCCCACTACCGACAGCCTCACAACACTTTTGAGGATATCAGACAGGATAATGGATTATAAATGTGCCTTGAGAATTGTAAAAAAAGCATTATTATAACCCACACTCTCATATACTAATATGGTATATAGTAAAGACTTTCTATGGTACACACTGATTACTTTATGTGGTATAAAAAGCAATCCTTTTAATTAAAAAGTAGGGGGATTATTTAATGCCCCACTTGAAATTTCCTACCTTACCTTCAGCATAGCTTTAATTATTTCCTTAAAAAATGTATCAAGTATGTGAGGAAGAGACTTTGGAATCTTTGAGGCCTGGGTTAGAATCCAGACACCCCATCTTTGAGCCACATAACCTTGATCTGTTAACCTGTCTGAGTTCAATTCCTTCCCTGGTTTAGAAGGGGGAGTTAAGGGGTATGTCAACATCCTCTAAGCCTAAGGGATGTTTGGAAGGATAAATAATACAATGGGTTTAAAAGTGTCTAGTCCGGCATTGGCACCCAAGTCCTCAGTTAAAGTCAGTTTCCTTTCCTGTTTTTAAACATCACTTCACAAGGTGTTTTCCTAACACATTTTACTTCTTCCAGGAGTCCAAGAAGAAGTAAATTCAGTCTTGATAAAAATGATTCTACCTTTCAATTTATGCTCAGTGAAACAAGCCAGGTGGAGAAAGACAAGTACCAAATGATTTCACTCATATGTGGAGTATAAGAACAAAGAAAAACTGAAGGAACAAAACAGCAGCAGAATCACAGAACCCAAGACTGGACTAACAGTTACCAAAGGGAAAGGGACTGCGGTGGCTGGGCGGGAAGAGAGGGATGAGAGGAATAGGGGGCACTGCGATTAGCACACATAATGTGGGGTGGGGGGCATGAGGAGGGCAGTATGGCACAGAGAAGACAAGTAGTGACTCTATAGCATCTTGTTACGCTGATGGACAGTGGCTGTAATGGGGTATGTGGTGGAGACTTGATAGTGTGGGGAATCTAGTGACCACAATGTTGCTCATGTAATTGTATATTAATGATAAAAAAATTAAAAATAAAAGATTCTACCCTTCAAGTCAAAAACAAGGCTGAGCTAGGAACCCAGCTCTCCTCATCTCTCGCTCAGGGGGATCCGTGGAGAGTGGCCCTCAGTTGTCCGTGCTCGGAGAAAAGCAGTTTGCCCCCCTCTGCAGGGTGACGCCTTGGGCTGGGCTGGCTCTGTGCTGCAGGCCATCCTGGAAGCTGAATGAGCTTTAGACACAAACCCGGCCTTTAGCCACTAGGTGCTAGCAGCAACCCGCACCTGCCCATGACCCCAGGGGGCAAATCACCCCCCCTGGGAACACTGGTTAAAAGTAAAGCCTGTGAGGCAACAGCTCAGGCTTTGATCTTGCTGGTGTGAAGAGCTGGGGCTGTCCCCGAACTTTTCTGAGCTGTTGTATCCTCTCCTGGGAACCAGGCATGGCATTAGTACCTCCACATAGGCTTGCTGGAGCTACGGGGTTTTCAAGTCCCCAACAGGGTACATACAGAGGGACTGGCTCATAATGGGGGTTTTAAGAAAATGCACTGGGTATTGGGGCCACCTTTGTCTAGTCCTTTGTATATTCTGGGGATATAGATAAATTTGTACTTGGGCTATCAAAAACTGTACACCCAAAAAAACCCTGTAAGTTTTCTTTCAAACCCAAAGTGAAATGAAATGTGGACTATCCAGGGATTTTTTTCATCTACACTCTCTTATCCCCCTTCATAAGTAGGAACAATTGGAGACAACAGCATTTGATTACATGCCCCCATCGACTGTTCAGACTTTCACGTTCACCCAGGACATCACCCTTTGTACAGCACTTTCTAAGACTGACACTTTTGGAGACAAACATCTGCTCTTCATTTGAGCCATGCCAGCTCCCCAAGAGATCACAGTACAG